ATTCAAAATTCCAGTTATTTGGATATTCTGATTCCTTATAACACTACATTCATCTGATAAGTGTAAACTTACCAAGTAATGTAAATGTGATGCCACAAATCTATTCATTTCCGATGCCAGCGACTGATGATGGAACATGAAAATGCTGACTTCTCTCTGTAGGTAGATGTTATTGTAATTTTCATGATACAACACGAAAAAATCCTCCAACTCCAATAACATCTCCAAACCAGCATCCTCGAACCACTCCACAAGAAACCAGAAAAAAGCAAACAACTCATCTTGCTTGGCCAAAAAGTTTCTCATGTCTCGCAACACAAGAAACTTAATGAACACAAGATGAAGTTCAGGATGCTGTTTTATGAAATTTCTTCTTGAAAGTCGCAATCGTCCACTATCAACATTATGCATGCGCAAGAATCCTCTTATTCCTCTTTTTATTGATGAATCTTCTTTCGATGCTTGCTTCATGAGATCATGAGGCAAGTTTCCCAAAGAAGGCTTCTCAAACATAAACTGAAATTAAAAATTAAAATCATTTTAGAGTTTTTCTTAAATTAAAAATATCTAATATATAAAAGCCCAATTCACTGATTCACTGACTCTGGAACGGAAGCCATGTGAAGACGTTTGTGAAGCCGTGTGAAGACAAAAATTTAAGGAGTGTTCACAAGGTGCTTGTAAGGTGAGTGTGGGGTGGGTGTCAAGTGGGGGGGGGGGGGGTGTCAGGTGGGGATTGGGGGCAAGGGGGTGTCAGGATGAGATTGGGAGCAAGGGGGGTGTCAGGTATATTTTGCGAAGCCAATGATTCGAGGGGTGCTGACAAGGTGGGTGTCAGTTGTGGGGGGTGACAAAGTGGGTGTCAGGTGGGGATGGAGGCAAGGGGGGTGTCAGTTGGGGGGGGGGGGGGTCCGAATTTGAGGGGGTTTGTGGGAAAAGTTTGCTGTCAGGAATATTTTGTGAAGCCATATAAAATTTTGTGAAGCCATGTGAAGTTTTGTGAAGCCATGAAAAGACATGGTGAGTTTCGGGGGAATTAAAGTTTTAGTGGGATTAAGGGGGTCCGAGTTTGAGGGGGTTTGTGAATACATTTATAAAATTTTTGTGGGATTGAGTCCGAGTTTGAGGAGGTTTGTGAGGCCATGTGAAGTTTTGTGGTAGGATTGACCTTAAAAACATTATGGTTATTTGCGTCTTACAGTTATTTACATAATAGTAATCAAATTTTAACCCTGATAAGAGGTGCCACAGGTGCCTCCGGACAGCCTAGTTATTATATAATTACTCACCTTTAAGAGGTTCCTTTTCTCGCCAATAGCTCTTTCGATCTGCAACAATTCCTCCGACATGGATTGAAAGGTCCTGTACAAAGGAATCATTGTCGGCATGCTGAATGATCGAAGGAGACGTGGATTTTCGGTTCCAGCATTTATCATTGGCATGCTGTACGTTCTCAGGAGCTCGGGAACCGGTTGCTAAAATAAATAAATGGAAAAAAAATTTTTAAAATTTATTCACAATTTAAAATGAATCATCGAAGGATGATGAATATCAACTGCTTGCTTGCATGATTAGTATTATTTCCATGCAAGAAGCATCATGTCTAGTTGGCACTTCCAACTGGGTGGAAGTGACAAACAAATTTTACTTCATTTCTTGACTTTTCAAACGATTTTAAAGATGAGTCCAGTTCTGAGGAACTAAGCAGTTCCGTAGGTTCCAATGCAGCCAGTACGCATCGTATGACTACTTAGAACCGAAAAATTTCATTGGATAATGAAAGAAGTGCTTAGTTCCTTAAATCTGGACCCCTCTCAAAAATCGTTAAAAAAGTCAAGAAATGTTGAAAAAACATTTTTGTCAGTTTCATCCAGTTGGAAGTACCAACTTGACATGATGCTTCTTGAATGAAAATCATACAAACCATGCAGCAATTAAACTGAGTCCTTTTGTTTTTGAATCATCGAAATCCTATCCTTACTTCTATCTCCACATTGGCTATTTCGTTGTTGCTTGCTTTATTCTCAAGCTGATGATCTTCATCCTCTAAAAGCTGAATGAACCGCTGAACAGTTTTGCGAAAATTTGACGTTGACATGTTGAACTAATCTTCACTTCTAATGTTTACACAATACTGAAGAAATTTCAGAATTGGTCAAATTTCAATGGTTGCTGGGATAATTATTCTTTTGTATACTGAATTATTATCATTTTGTATGAAAATTAAAATGATATTTTGTGACATCAAAACTATCGGGAAATCGCTGAATCTGGTGCAGGAACATATCCAGTGTTACAAAATAAGTGATCGGTTCCGTTGAGTTTGAAACAAAGATAAAAAAATGTTTATCAAATAATAATTTCCTTCAAATTTAAGTTATTATTGAGCAATAAGTGATAGTGAAAATGTGGAAGAAGGCACGTTCACTACGTCTATTTCCTAAATGACTGTTTTATACTCTCATGGATTTCACTATTAATTCTTCAAAGAAAAAACTTTATTTAAATAAATTTGATGTCTAAAATGCAATTTAGAAAATCAATTAAGTACAAAATGGTCAAAAAATACAAAAAGTTTTAGCTGAAAAGTTTCATTAAAAATGTTTGATAAAAAACAACAAACTAATTTATAGGCACATATTTAGGCATTCACTCGTTTTCTTCTTCTAAGTCTTCATTTTGAGGCTGTTGAAAGACATCTGGCATCATATCATTCGCATCATCTTTCTTTTCTTGAATTAATTTCATATCTTCTGCTGTCTTTAGGCATAATTTGGCTTCTTCAATTGCCTTTGATCTTTTCTCGTCGTTAAGCTGAGTGACACCCATTAAAAGCTGCAAAACATCAGTATCGAATATTTTCTCAGCAACTGTTTTACTCTGTCGAATCATGTTGTGAATTATGACAATTCCTCTAAACTGTACATCAGGGCTTGGATTCGCTATTAACGTATGCAAAATTTCAAGCCATGACGATGGAGTTATCATTTTCTCACAACATTTTGCACTATTAGATGTCAGAATTGCTAATGCACCACTACATGCTAAAGCTGTTTCTTCATCTTCCTCCTCGCACAACAGTGCTAAGAATTTTACGCGATCATTGTCTCCTTCATGCCATTTTATATAATCCTCATTCAAAACCATGTTGCAAATTACTTGTGTGGCAGCTCTAGTCAACAAAATGTGATCTTCCATTAAGAACATTTCAATACGTGACATTCCTTTCTCTTTCATTATGCGATTGCGAACTGAATCATTCATTTGAGCTAAATTACAAAGTGCCAAAAGTGCTTCAAAATTCTCGAGTGCACTATAGTCTGGATGAAGTTGATTAAGTAATGGTCTAACAACTTCTAATGATCGTTGTCCAGGAAATGCTTGTTCGGGATTGATAGTGATACCTAAACGTGACAAAGCCTGACCAGCATTTCGTTTGCCCTTTTCAGTACCTAAAGTAATTGAAAAAAAAAACAGAATTTAAAATAAATCAATAAAAATGCAGTAATAAAGTTTGAAATTCTTACCTTTTAATGCAAGCTGAATTAAGACACGAGCACCACCTTGTTGAACAATCTTTCCCCTAACACTAGTTTCGGAGCAAATTGCATTAAAAACTCTCGCAATCATTTCTTTGGCATTGTCACTCTCAGTTTTTGATAGAGCAACTAAGGCGACAGTAATACCTTCTTCTGCCAATGTATTAATACGTTTGGCTACAAAATCTGGATCATCGAGTTCTGATTCTTCTGGAACATGATGTTTTGCGAATTTAGCAAGTTCCATAAGTTCAGGAAGCATTTCCTGCTTTTCATAAGCATTGACAAGATTAACAAGTGTAGTAACAACACCATAAATGACAGATTGATCTCCAGTTTTAGCTAGTTCAATGAGTGCTTGAATAGCCAATTTATCATCAATTAATTTCTCTTTAACATCAGCATCAAGTGTAAGGAATGACAATCCTTCAGCTGCAAATTTACGAATATCCTTATCTTTACCAGGTTTAATGAGAAAACGACGACATGCTTCAGCTAGTTTAACAGTTGATCCTTCAGCAAATGGACGAATAGATGCATCAAGGCCACCAGAGCTACCTAATTTACATAATCCAACTAGTGCTCTTACTCGAATTCCTTCATCTTTTGAATGATATAATTTCTTTAAAATTTCCACCCCACTTGTTATTAATGCTTTAGCCTTATCCTTCTTTGATGCTGCAGCAATAAGACATTCAGAAGCTACTTTTTGATGTAACAATTCATCATCACTTGCCATTGCTAAAATCATTTGCATGATTCCATCACGTGCGAAAATTGTATTACCAACATCTAATGGACCAAGAAGAAGTGATGTTAAAGCGACTACAACACGAACTTTTGATTCAAATTCTGGATTTAAAAGCTTATCCCTTATATATTCATCAATGTGAGCAATGAATCGTTGTCGAGCTTCATCATAGTACATGTTTTCATAAATTCTTGCTAAACAAACGGAAGCGATGGTTCTAGACGATGGTGTTATTGGCATTGCACTCTCATATTTATATTCCTCTAATTCACTACAAATTTCCATCAAACGATAAAGACCCTTTTTCTCGATAAGACGTTCAGCCCAATTAAGTGTTTGATAATGAGCATTTCTGATCAATAATTCTACAACAGCATCACGAGCTTCGCCAGTAATTGTACGATCTGTTGTTGCATAAATCAAGCATGTAAGAATTGTATCAATTTCATTCTTATTATCTTCAACTAATTGTTGATCTGGCTTTGAATCCTCTTTATTAGTTAAGCCAGAGAATGAATTAAGAATGACTTGTAAGCAATGCTGAGCTGACATGACACGATCAGGATTTTTACTATCAAGAATTTGTAGGAGTCAAGGGATACCAAGTTCATTAATGATCTTCTTTGTGTAATGTAATGACTTGATACAGATATCATCAATTACACGTATAGCATTAACAAGTATTTCATCATTTTTTCGACTTTGAATAATTAACCGACACAAGTAGCTATATTCTCAAAGAACATTACATCGGCTCCTGCCTTTTCTCTAGCTAACACTACAAGATTACTCATTGCAGTCTCTTTTTTGCTTCTCTCGGCACCAATATCAAATGCTAATTCCATCATTTTCGATACCTTTGTGGATGTTTGAGCATTTATAGCTGCAGGATCCTGAGATAAGGCTGAATTGGTTTAAAGTTTGGATCATTCTTGCAAATTGTTCGATTTTCAGCCACAAAAGATATTAAGCATGCAAAAGTCTTTTAAATAATTAAAATTGTGCTTTTAATGTTTCTTTATGAGAATCAATTTTTTTTGGTAAAATATATATTTATTATAAATTTGACAATTTTTCAATCTCATCATTAATGTTCGTGCTTCTGTCATAGCTCAAAACTTCAGTGTAGATAGAGAAAAATCCTTCAAGCTTTTGCGAGTTTTCCGTTTGGTTTTCTTTAACAAAGGAGCAAATCTTTTGTGAAACCTGTTGAATAGAAAACTCATTTTATAAAAGCTAGTTATGATGTCCGAAATTAACGGTCATTTTTCAAAAAAGATCAATGGATTTCCAGGAATTTCTATTGTTCTTTTCTTGCTCTAAATTCAAAATATTTTCATAACGAAAGATGAAATTAAACCAATTGATTTAAAATCCAATGATGAAGAAGTTTGGCAAATAAGTTCATGTTCGCAAATAATCCATATTCCAAAAATTGAAACACGAAAAATCGTATTCCAATTGAAAAATTCACGTTTCAAAAATAGAAGACGAAAAATTCAGGTTTCAAAAATTGAAGACAAAAAATTCACATTTCAAGAATTCAAGACAAAAAATTCACATTTCAAAAATTGAACACGAAAAATTCAAGAAGAAAAATTCACATTTCAAGAATTAAACATGAAAAAATTTACATTTCAAGAATTCAAGATGAAAAATTCAAATTTCAAAAAATTGAACATGAAAAATAAAGACGAAAAATTCACATTTCAAGAATTCAAGATGAAAAATTCACCTTTCAAAAAATTGAACATGAAAAATTCACATTTCAAAAAATTGAACATAAAAAAATTCACGTTTCAAAAATAGAAGACGAAAAATTCAGGTTTCAAAAATTGAAGAAAAAAATTCACATTTCAAGAATTCAAGACAAAAAATTCACATTTCAAGAATTGAACATGAAAAATTCACATTTCAAAAAATTGAACATGTAAAATTCACATTTTAAAAATTAAAGACGAAAAATTCACATTTCAAGAATTAAACATGAAAAAATTTACATTTCAAGATTTCAAGATGAAAAATTCAAATTTCAAAAAATTGAACATGAAAAATTCACATTTTAAAAATTAAAGACGAAAAATTCACATTACAAGAATTGAACATGAAAAATTCACATTTCAAGAATTCAAGATGAAAAATTCACATTTCAAAAAATTGAACATAAAAAATTCACATTTTAAAAAATAGAAGACGAAAAATTCACATTTCAAAAAATTGAACATAAAAAATTGACGTTTCAAAAATAGAACATGAAAAATTCACATTTCAAGAATTCAAGACAAAAAATTCACATTTCAAGAATTGAACATGAAAAATTCACATTTCAAAAATTAAAGACGAAAAATTCACATTTCAAGAATTGAACATGAAAAATTCACATTTTAAGAATTCAAGATGAAAAATTCACATTTCAAAAAATTGAACATAAAAAATTCACATTTTAAAAAATAGACGACGAAAAATTCACATTTCAAAAATTGAACATAAAAAATTCACGTTTCAAAAATAGAAGACGAAAAATTCAGGTTTCAAAAATTGAAGACAAAAAATTCACGTTTCAAGAATTCAAGACAAAAAATTCACATTTCAAAAATTGAACACGAAAAATTCAAGAAGAAAAATTCACATTTCAAGAATTAAACATGAAAAAATTTACATTTCAAGAATTCAAGATGAAAAATTCAAATTTCAAAAAATTGAACATGAAAAATAAAGACGAAAAATTCACATTTCAAGAATTGAACATGAAAAATTCACATTTCAAGAATTCAAGATGAAAAATTCACCTTTCAAAAAATTGAACATAAAAAAATTCACGTTTCAAAAATAGAAGACGAAAAATTCAGGTTTCAAAAATTGAAGAAAAAAATTCACATTTCAAGAATTCAAGACAAAAAATTCACATTTCAAGAATTGAACATGAAAAATTCACATTTCAAAAAATTGAACATGTAAAATTCACATTTTAAAAATTAAAGACGAAAAATTCACATTTCAAGAATTAAACATGAAAAAATTTACATTTCAAGATTTCAAGATGAAAAATTCAAATTTCAAAAAATTGAACATGAAAAATTCACATTTTAAAAATTAAAGACGAAAAATTCACATTACAAGAATTGAACATGAAAAATTCACATTTCAAGAATTCAAGATGAAAAATTCACATTTCAAAAAATTGAACATAAAAAATTCACATTTTAAAAAATAGAAGACGAAAAATTCACATTTCAAAAAATTGAACATGTAAAATTCACATTTTAAAAATTAAAGACGAAAAATTCACATTTCAAGAATTAAACATGAAAAAATTTACATTTCAAGATTTCAAGATGAAAAATTCAAATTTCAAAAAATTGAACATGAAAAATTCACATTTTAAAAATTAAAGACGAAAAATTCACATTACAAGAATTGAACATGAAAAATTCACATTTCAAGAATTCAAGATGAAAAATTCACATTTCAAAAAATTGAACATAAAAAATTCACATTTTAAAAAATAGAAGACGAAAAATTCACATTTCAAAAAATTGAACATAAAAAATTGACGTTTCAAAAATAGAACATGAAAAATTCACATTTCAAGAATTCAAGACAAAAAATTCACATTTCAAGAATTGAACATGAAAAATTCACATTTCAAAAATTAAAGACGAAAAATTCACATTTCAAGAATTGAACATGAAAAATTCACATTTTAAGAATTCAAGATGAAAAATTCACATTTCACAAAATTGAACATAAAAAATTCACATTTTAAAAAATAGACGACGAAAAATTCACATTTCAAAAATTGAACATAAAAAATTCACGTTTCAAAAATAGAAGACGAAAAATTCAGGTTTCAAAAATTGAAGACAAAAAATTCACGTTTCAAGAATTCAAGACAAAAAATTCACATTTCAAAAATTGAACACGAAAAATTCAAGAAGAAAAATTCACATTTCAAGAATTAAACATGAAAAAATTTACATTTCAAGAATTCAAGATGAAAAATTCAAATTTCAAAAAATTGAACATGAAAAATAAAGACGAAAAATTCACATTTCAAGAATTGAACATGAAAAATTCACATTTCAAGAATTCAAGATGAAAAATTCACCTTTCAAAAAATTGAACATGAAAAATTCACATTTCAAAAAATTGAACATAAAAAAATTCACGTTTCAAAAATAGAAGACGAAAAATTCAGGTTTCAAAAATTGAAGAAAAAAATTCACATTTCAAGAATTCAAGACAAAAAATTCACATTTCAAGAATTGAACATGAAAAATTCACATTTCAAAAAATTGAACATGTAAAATTCACATTTTAAAAATTAAAGACGAAAAATTCACATTTCAAGAATTAAACATGAAAAAATTTACATTTCAAGATTTCAAGATGAAAAATTCAAATTTCAAAAAATTGAACATGAAAAATTCACATTTTAAAAATTAAAGACGAAAAATTCACATTACAAGAATTGAACATGAAAAATTCACATTTCAAGAATTCAAGATGAAAAATTCACATTTCAAAAAATTGAACATAAAAAATTCACATTTTAAAAAATAGAAGACGAAAAATTCACATTTCAAAAAATTGAACATAAAAAATTGACGTTTCAAAAATAGAACATGAAAAATTCACATTTCAAGAATTCAAGACAAAAAATTCACATTTCAAGAATTGAACATGAAAAATTCACATTTCAAAAATTAAAGACGAAAAATTCACATTTCAAGAATTGAACATGAAAAATTCACATTTTAAGAATTCAAGATGAAAAATTCACATTTCAAAAAATTGAACATAAAAAATTCACATTTTAAAAAATAGAAGACGAAAAATTCACATTTCAAAAATTGAACATAAAAAGTTCACGTTTCAAAAATAGAAGACGAAAAATTCAGGTTTCAAAAATTGAAGACAAAAAATTCACATTTCAAGAATTCAAGACAAAAAATTCACATTTCAAAAATTGAACACGAAAAATTCAAGAAGAAAAATTCACATTTCAAGAATTAAACATGAAAAAATTTACATTTCAAGAATTCAAGATGAAAAATTCAAATTTCAAAAAATTGAACATGAAAAATAAAGACGAAAAATTCACATTTCAAGAATTGAACATGAAAAATTCACATTTCAAGAATTCAAGATGAAAAATTCACCTTTCAAAAAATTGAACATGAAAAATTCACATTTCAAAAAATTGAACATAAAAAAATTCACGTTTCAAAAATAGAAGACGAAAAATTCAGGTTTCAAAAATTGAAGAAAAAAATTCACATTTCAAGAATTCAAGACAAAAAATTCACATTTCAAGATTTCAAGATGAAAAATTCAAATTTCAAAAAATTGAACATGAAAAATTCACATTTTAAAAATTAAAGACGAAAAATTCACATTACAAGAATTGAACATGAAAAATTCACATTTCAAGAATTCAAGACAAAAAATTCACATTTCAAGAATTGAACATGAAAAATTCACATTTCAAAAAATTGAACATGTAAAATTCACATTTTAAAAATTAAAGACGAAAAATTCACATTTCAAGAATTGAACATGAAAAATTCACATTTCAAGAATTCAAGATGAAAAATTCACCTTTCAAAAAATTGAACATGAAAAATTCAAGAAGAAAAATTCACATTTCAAGAATTAAACATGAAAAAATTTACATTTCAAGAATTCAAGATGAAAAATTCAAATTTCAAAAAATTGAACATGAAAAATAAAGACGAAAAATTCACATTTCAAGAATTGAACATGAAAAATTCACATTTCAAGAATTCAAGATGAAAAATTCACCTTTCAAAAAATTGAACATGAAAAATTCACATTTCAAAAAATTGAACATAAA